TTTCTCTTTCAGTGTCAAAAAATAATTTTTCTAGGCATTAAATTTTAGATTGGTGTTGTCTTTCAACATTTTATAAATATTTCTTTTTACTTTTCTTGCATGCATGGTTTCTGATGAAAAGTCCACTTCAATTCTTACCCTTATTTCTCTAGAAGGTATTTCAAGATTTTTTTCTGTGTTTGGTTTTCTGCAGTTTACAAATGATATGCCTAGGTGCAAGTTTTTTCTTTTTGGCATTTAACTTGCTCAGTGTTCCCTGAGCCACCTGGATCTATGGTTTTGTGTTTGTCATTAAGTTTGGAAAGTTCTAGTCATTGTTACTTCAAATATTTCTTCTGTTCCATTCTCTCTTTCTTCTTCTGTTTCAATTAAGATGTGAATGCTGTGTCTTATAAAATCATCTCATAGTTCTTGTATGTCCTGTCCTTTTTTGCCATTCCTATGTCTCTTTGCATTTTAACTTAGGAATTCTTACTGATCTATCTTCATGCTCACTGATTTTTTCCTTGCCCATGTTCAGTCTACTGATGAACCCATCAAAAATGTTCTTCATTGTTGTTAGTGTTCGTATTTGTAGCCTTTCTTTTTGTTGTTGCTGAATTTTATTTTCAATAAAAATTGCATATATTTAAATGTACAACATGGTTGTTTGATAGATATATGCATAGTGAAAGGATCACTGCCATCAACTCATTGACATGTCATTTCCTCATACAATTAACATGTTTTTTTGTGTGTGATGAGAACACCTGAAGTTTAATCTTGGAATATTTGAGTATTAAATATAGTATTGTTAACTATAGTCATCATTCTGTACATTTGATCTCTAGACTTATCCTACAAAGCTGCAACATCTTCCCATTTCACCCACCTTCCCATTCCTGATATTTACTGTTCTACTTCAACTTTTCTTGTATTCCAAATCTAATTTGAGTTCATGTAGCATCTTTAAATTCTTTCTTAGAACATCCATTTCTTTGCTTACCCTCCTCACATGCTCTAATTTCTCTATTATAATCCTTAGTGTATTAATCATAGTTATTTTAAATTAATTCTCTAATATTTCTAACATCTGTGTCAGAGCTGAGTCATATTTTATGCTTTCTTTGTCTCTTTAGATTGTAGTTTTTCTTGCTTTTTGTCATGCCCCATAAGTTTTTACTGAAAGCCAAGCATGGTGTATCAGGTAATAGGAAGTAAGGTAAACAGGTCTTTGGTGTGGAGTCTTACATTCACCTGGCTGGGTGCTGGATTGTATTTACTGTTTGTTGTACCTGTAGGTGCCAGAGGATTCAAATTTCTCTGGTCCCCTCCATTTTGTCTCCCCTCTGGACTTTGGGCTTCCCTGACTTCTGTTCCTGAGAAAGGGTCTGCATCTTGAAGCTCTTTCAACTGAAACCCAGTCATTTTCCTGAGGACCTGTTTGTGTGATAAGGTGTGGGGAATGGGAAACAGTCTATAATCTTATGATTAAACCTCAGCCTTTCAGAAGCTCTGTCTCTCTGGCTGTGCTATTCATAAGTGTTTCTTAGTTTTGTGAGGCAGAAAGGCTAAAGGGGGAGGGAGTGGAAAATGCCCGACCCTCAGCTGGGACGAGGCCCTGGCACACCTTCGTGATGGAGAATGCCCTGAGCACATTTACTATTATCCTTTCCTTCCCTGCGTCAGAGCTGTGAAAGGATCTTTCTCAGATCCTTAGCTTGAGAAACTAATGGGCTTCTTTTGGGTAAAACCCACTGAAGTGGGGGATCCCCTAAAACTTTAGTCCTCAGGAGTTTCTAGTTCTCAAGCTAGTCTACGCCCAGACTCCAGAGAGTTACCAAAATTAGCATTTAAATGTTCCTATCAGGGTATGGCTCCAGGGGCTTCTACTGTGGGTAAACAGATACTGACTTCACTCTTTTGATTAACCTGTTCTGCAGATTTGGGAGTGGCATTTTGCCCTGCAAACTCAATTCTCTAATGAGGCCCCAAAAAGTTGATTTTCAGTCTGTTCAGCTCTTTCTTGTAAGAATAAGTGTGTCAGTTTCTAAGCTGTTTCTGTGTTGAAGCTGAAACCAGAACCCCATTTCACGTATTTTCCCTATCAACTTTACTATCATCATCCCCATTTTAGATGAGGAAAATCAAACCCAGACTGTCTAGCTCTTAAGTACCATGCAAAACCACCGTGCACATCCAAGTTGCCTCACCACACACTTGTCTATCTGCCTGCTATTTGGTATGTACTCATGTCTCCTCCTGCCCACTTTCCCTTAGAGAGTTTAGTCCAAGATTAAGTGTTCCTATTTTCACTCACCTATGTGAAGCCTTTAGCAGCTTTCCATGCCCACTTTGCAACCTCCAGGCCTTGCCTGCCCCCTTCTCCTGCTCACTTCAGCCACTCAGGCTAGTCGTCCTGGGAACACATCTCAGTGCTTGTGGGGCTGGAATTCTCTTTCTTCCCACTCCTGGATTGTAAACCAGAAATCCATGAGGGTGGGGCCCTATTGTCCTTATTCTGTTGTATCCCTAAGGCCAAAGACAGAACAAGGCACACAGTAGGCATTCAATAAATATTTCTGAGCAAAGGAATGATTAGATTGAGTCAAACTGAACAGATTGAAAATATATTATTTTGCACATGAGTCCTACTTGCTGAAAGAAGCCTTTCAGGAGCCATAAAGAGAAAGAGAAGAAATATTTTCAATAACAATAACAAAAACAATAATAGCAGCAGCCAAGGCAATAACAATAACAAAAATAATAATAGCAGCAGCCAAGGCCTGCTGAGTACTTCTTATGTGCCAGGTACTGCTGAAAGCCCTTGTTCATTAACTCACTTAATCTGCATCTCAGCATGGTGTGGTAGGTATTAACATTATTGTCATTTTATGAACGGGAAAACTGAGGCAGAGAGCATGTAGATACCTTGGCCTACATAATACATCCAGAAAAGGATAAACTCAGATTTGACCCAAGAAGCCTGGGCTCACTGTTTGTGCACTTGGCCTTTAAGCTCACCACTGCTCAGGGCTTGATGCATTCCAGACTTCTCCCATGGATTCGACCCCATTAGCTTGAAAACAACTCCAACTCCACAGCCGGGAGAAACAGTGAGGTGGTGGACTCCATTAAACTCTATTATGAGGTCTAAGGACCCTTTAAAGAGTGTATCATTGGAGTTCTTATTATTAACTAAAGACCTAGTTGAGGTTTTTGTTTGATTCTAGATATGCAGGAGATGAAATCAATTATTTTTAGCCAGTATTTGTGCCTACAGGAAAGGGCAAAATGAGCTTTGGGTAATTCATTGTCTTTGGATTTCATTTCCCCTTCTAAGAGAGTTGTCTCTGGTCTTTTAATAACATGAACATACTGCAGTTGGACACCTGAGAGAGTGGAAGGGGCAGAGTGGGCTTACAAGCACAGAAGTTACACTGAGGGACAGCTGCCAGGAGTGGGCTTGGGGGGAGCAGCCCCACTCTTGCCAGTGCTTCCGAGGGGCTGAATGTGCAGGAGGTACTGGAGTTGTGTTGTTCTAATGAATAGAAAGGAACAAATCAGCTTCTGTCAGGGTTTATCATGAGCTATTTTGCAGCTCAAGAGAAAGATAAATTGCTTCTGTGAACTACATTTCACTCTGAGGTTTATTTTGCAGTACCTTGCAGTCTCCCGTCTGCCACAATATTATTTCAAATAAAATTAGCAACAGATGGGAGACCTGCACTGCGAATGAAGAGGTAGCATTGCCTACACACTTTTTAAAAAGCAGGTGAAACTTGAATATGAGGAAGGATATTTTTAAACCCCAGAAAACAAGTGCCTTAGTAGTTGGGAAAAGTTGAGCCCTTACCTGAATGAGTGAACGCTTGGAGGAGCAGTGAGAATGTGGGCTTTCATGGGTGCAAATTTCCATCACTGGGCCATGGACAGAGTTCTCACCTAAAGGTGCCCTTTCGTCTTCTGTTCATTAGAAATGGTGCTGGTAGCGTTTACTATGGGCGAAGGCATGGACAGTAGGGGAGTGCCTGGCTGGGTGGGGCTCATGTTATCATGGACATTTGCATCCTTCTTCATCAAGCCCAGTTCACGGTGGCCACATGTTCCCTCTGGCCCTACTGGCACTGACTGTGAAATAGAAAAACAAAAAGCCCCAAATCTAAGCCCAGCGTCCCAACCCCAGGTCTTCTCATGCTTGACTAGCGGTGTGGACAAGATGGTTCTCTCCGACCTCATTTTTCCCCTCAGGAAAATGAAGGAGTGCTTTTCTCGAGCTCAAGTGGGGTTACTAGTGTGAAGGGCAAGTACAATGTAAAGCACTATGCATGTTGTAAGGTGATATGTAATACTGGTGTCTGAAGTAAAGGCTGCTGACAGAGAGGTAATACTCTGAGGCTCAAGCATGTGCATGATTGTTTGGACTGAGTAAAGCTTATTACAAAGTACCTGAAATCTCTGATGAATTAATTGTACTGATGTCTCCCTGCTGGCACGTTACAATATCTGTGGGGTATGCAAACTACAGATACTAGAATCTGTATTTTTCAAAGCATTCCAGATATTGGCTAATGTGTAGCTGGGATTGGGAAATAGTGAATTAAAATTAAACCATGTGTAACCTAGCAAAGAGCACTGGACTTTAAATCACGAGCAATGGATTTCGGCTCAAGTTCTGTCACTACCTTGGTGGATAAATTTGAAAAATTAACAAAAAAACTACAAGCCATTGGAGATTGACAAAGACCCTTCCATTTCCAACAGCCTCTGTTCGATGCCCAAACCACTGATTGTTCCAGTCCATTCAGGCAACCCGGCCATTGTGTCATACAGGAAACCTGATATCATTCAAGGGTCTATACGGCTGGGAGGCTTTGGGTTTCTGAGTTGAAGTCATTTATGTTTGCTCAGGATAGAAATAAGAGACAAAAATCCATTCTTCCTATCATTAATGTAGTAGGTGATGTTGAAGAAGTGATATTCATTCAAACTAATGTGTTCACCTGTTACATTATGTCCAGGAAGGACTCAGACTCCAATGTCCTGTAAAAAACTGTTGTGCACCCACCAGAACAATACCCCCAGTTGTCCTGCTGTAAGTATAGCTCCTTCCAAAGAACAAAGCCATGGAGAAGTCAGTCCCTTCCTAGCACCATCCAGTGCATGGGACAAGACCCCACTGATCTTCACTGTCAATCGAGAAATTCATAAGAGAGACAGAGGAGCACCCAAGCAGAGCTGGAGCTGTCCATTCGTGAAACAGCAAATGGCAGAAATGCCTATGGGATGTTACTCGGTGTACCCTGTGTGCCTGGAGGCTGTAGGCACACACATCAGCAGACATGTGAGAGCTCGGAACCAGCCTTCTCCCAGTTCAAAGAGAGATTCCGTCCCACCTGGTGAGTCTCACTTTGTAATTCCTATTTCTTTTTTCTCTTTTCAATTGGTCATATTTTATTTTTAATGTCAATATAATCAGCAAAGTTACTGACTCAAGGGCAAGTCCTATTCTAGAAAGTTCTATAAGAACCGTATCAGAAAGTTCTTAATGAAAGGCTACTCACTGTTAATCATTGTATTGGAGGAAAGGACAAGTGTGGGTAGCTACCATTAATTTGATGATTCAGGTATTGCACCAGATAATAATAATAGTTATTTTTATTATCATTCTAGCATCCATTTATTAAAGTTCTCACCATATGGCAGATATAGTCCTGAGCATTTCACATTATTTTATGAAATTCTTCTGTAACACTCTTAGGCAGATAATGTGATTATCCCTATTTGAAGATTAGGAAGCTGTGAATGCCAAGCACAGGATAAGACACATGATAATGAAGTGTCTCAAAATTACTGATGGGAAGAATGATTAAAAGCAATGAGATGGATCAGAGGGAATGAGCTTTGGAGGCAGGAAGATCTGGACTCAAATCTCTGCCTTTCCATTTCATTTCTGTAGCCGTGATCAAGTCCCACAAATGTTCTTTGATCCCAGTATTTCCATCTGTAGGCTAACAATAATTCCTGCCTTGAAGAGATGCTGTAATTGGTGGATTGATATGAATAAAATTCCCCAAACATAGCAGGGACTGACTCAAGAGTGGTGGTGATGACGATGGTGGTGTTTATGCTTCTGCCTGGAGGAGAAAAACATAAGGAATCAATGCATATCTCCCAATATTCTAGGAACTGCCATGTAGAAGCATTGGATTGATTTTATATACCCTTTTTAAGTTTTTTTCTCCAAATGTTTGACAGTTTGTTGGACTTGACTAGTACCAGAAAGAGACAGATTTTTAAAAAAATATTTTATTTATTTATTTTTAGAGAGGGGAAGAGAAGGAGAAAGAGAGGGAGAGAAACGTCAATGTGCCCTTCTCATACGCCCCCTACTGAGGACCTGGCTCACAACCCAGGCATGTGCCCTGACTGGGACTGGAACCAGCAACCCTTTGTTTCACGGGCCTGCACTCAGTCCACTGAGCCACACCAACCAGGGCAGAAAGAGACAGCTTTTGACACAATAAATAGAACTTTCTTTGAACCAGAGGAGAATGTACTGTTTGGGCCAAAAGTGTTAAAGCAGGGGCTGGGAGATTGTCTACCAAATACGCTGAGTCAAGGATTCCTTCATCTCTGGGAAGCGGGGCTGGAGGATGGGATGCTGAGGATGCTCACTGGTTAACGTTTTTTGTCTCATTATGTATAAGGTAATGTGCTAAAATCTGAACATACATCCTCAGTTTTGATCCATATGGCCACCCTCTGAGATGGCAACTGTTGTTTTCCCACAGTTTAGAGACAGGATTGGAAGCCTGTAGAGATTCTGTGATTTGGCCAGGTTTCAACCCTTCAATATAGGTCACAGAATTCCTCTATTAAGATTCTAAATATGACAATGACAGCTCTTGGGTACCAAACACTTACAATATGCTAGATGCTTTGCATTTTCTCATGCTCTTCTGTCAGATACTTAACTAGTTTGCTTTTTCATTTTCTTCAGATCTTTACTGAAATGCCATCTATGTGGATCTATCCTAACCTTTCCTGCTTATTTTTCTCCTTAGGACTTACTACTAGTTGACATTTAAACATTTCTTCATTTGCCTATTGAATAGTTTACATCCTTTCCCCACTCTTTCTTCCCACAACTATAATGGAAGCTTTATAAGTGCAGGGATATTGGCAGCTTTATTCTTTTCTCCATCTCTAATGTCTAGGATACTGCCAGGCCCATTACAGACACTCAAATATTAATGGATGAATAAACGAATGAACAAACTTAATCCTGCTAGCAACTCTGTCAAATAGGTAATATAATCCTCATACTTCAGTTAAGGCTTCGGAGATGTGCTAGGATTTGAATCTATGATGGTCTGACCCCAATGCCTTCTTTAATCCATTTTACCACACTGCCCCTCTAAAACAGTTATGAAAACGCATCGTTATCACAGTTTATTCAGGGAAGGAATTTCTTTCATTTGTTTCAAGGCGGAGGACACGTATTCTTGTAGGTCATATTCTTTTGCTCCAAATTCCAAAGCCACATCCATGTTCTCCTGTGGAATCTTCTTGCACTGATTATTGATGGCAATAAATGAGTCATCTTCCAAGACCGAAATTCAAATTGACAAATAGCTATTATGCATTTTGGTTTTTATGTTTTTAATTTTATTTTTTCCATACTATTTTGTTGCTGTTGTTGAAGTACAATTGTCTCCATACCACCCCCCCACTCCCCACCACCCCAGCCGTCCTCACTTAAGCATTTAGCTTTCAAAAGGCAATGTGTTTGGCTCTCTGAAAGGATTGGCACAGACCCTGAGATACTGAAAGGCCATCCCACCTTTATTTCCAGAAAATGACTCTCACATTGGAGAAATCAGGTACACTAAAAAATGTTCACTCTTTGATGAGGGTATGTTGAATGGGTCGTGGGAGATGCTCAGTACAGACGGAGCGTAAAACAGTATGTGATGAATTAAACTGAATTACTTAGACATAGAGTGGCTATTGTCACCCACTCTTTCAAAGGTAATGCGCATTTTAATTCTTTTACATATTTTTGAACTCGCAAATGATCCTGTAGGTTGTTCCAGATATTTTAGACATCTATATGCTATTCAAACATCTTTAAAATTTTTGTAGAAAAGCATGTGAATTATCTTAGCTACTTCAAAATTAGACTTTAATTTGTGTAGGTCAATGGGCAGAATGTCTCTGGTAAAAACTTCAAGAATGTATACATTTGATATATATGTATATACATATGGAAATGCAGGTGGAAAAATATATATATTTCTTTTCTAATATTGGTTGTATTAGTGTAAAAATACCTTATATTTTACACACAAGAAAATACCTCATTTTTTCTTCAGTTGAACAAAAAAATATATAAAATCTAGTATCATTAGTGAGTATGTAGGTGTTGTGTAGACCCAGCATCAGAGTAATTCATTAATTGCTTTCATTTCCAGCTTTTTGAAATTTCTAATAAAACTCATGAAGTAATTGCTTCTTGGATTTTTAAATTATCAGTTGCAAATCTAAATGGGCTGTGTATTTTTTTTTTGCATGAGATAAAACCCCAGTTAATAATTTTTACTCACAAACTTTCCCCAAACTTAGAATTTGAGGCCCCCATTTTAGTCACTAATTCTTCTGGTTCCCTCTCTTTAGAAGTTTTGAACAGTTTTCCTTGAAATAAAGTTTTATGAGGGTTCTGTAAAAAATTTTTTGGAGGGAGTCCTTTCAGTCAAGGAACAGATAACATTTTATTTTCTTAGAGAAATGTAAGGGGCACGTGAGGGTAATAATGTCAGGGGATTTTTTTTTTCTCCATACATTGCAGATGTTGATTTCTCAAACATTCAGTGATGAAGGAGAGCCTTTTTTTTTTTTTAAGTCCTGGCGGGGGCGGGTACTTTCCCCACACTTCCGCCCCACTCCTACCCTTCTTCACCCTCCAGGTCCTGCTGCGAGGCCTTCCACTGTCCTCGGGATCTGCAGGAGAAGCCAGATTTCCGGCGCCCCTTTGAAGGTCTCCGGGGGTTCCTCGGAGTCCCAGATGGAGGAGAGGATGGCAGCTGAAGTGGGTGCTCTGGCCAACCCGGATTCCCTAAGCGCCCTCCAGGGTGCGCCTGAAAGTCCAGTTGGAAGAGGCGCCGTTGCCATGGCACCAGAGACGCTCCCCAAGCATCCTCATCCCCCGGGGAAAAGGGGGCCCAGGGCAGACGCCTCCCTTCCTGGCAATCTGGCAGGAGCACCCCTTTCTCAGTTTGCCGGGTCTGCCACCCAGCTCCCCTCAAAGGGGTTAATCAAGGCTTGGTCTTGTCCCCCCATGCGCCCACCCCAGCGCTTCCAGACGGCTTGTTCACAGGCCCCTCCCTGGCCGGGGGTGAATGCTCACTGACGCTGACCGCTGCGAGGGGATTGTTCTGCGAGCGCGGCCCACCTTCAAATCAATGCCTGCGCAGAACAACAAAAAGGGCCTCAGATGCACTGGTTTCCACAGCACCATTGTTAGGCTTTTGTGAAGCAGTTTTGAACCTAATAAATAATGTCAAAAGTCTCTATCGCCGCCAAAAATGTTCCTTTTGAAGCATTTCTAATGGTATTTTTGTTCCGCGGTGTCTCCCAGTGTCACAAAGAATTTGTGCCTCACAATGGGAATGGGGTACATCGCGTGCCACTGCGCGACGTGCCTCCAGGGACTGCGGGGACCCCGCTTTGTTCAGCCCGCGCAGGTAAACGGTTTCACTTGCCAGCTTGGGATTTGGTTGAAGGATGTTTTCTAAGGGCCTTTTGAATTTCTAAACAGAGGTTTGGAGAACGTCAGTGCATGTTTGTAACTTAATAGTTAACATGAAATTTGACGACTCCTGGAGTGGCCAGGAGAATTCTGCAGGGTGTATTAAAGTTTTTATGTCAGAAACCTGAAGCTGGATCCTCCTTTGAGGCCCTGAAACACTTGGAGCTAAGTTTAATGCAAAAGAGATACTGAATGTTCTGATTTGTAATAAAAAAAACAACAACACTGGAGCAGCTTGAGGAACGTTTTTGTCAAAGTGGATACTTTAGGCACTTGCTTTTCATTTTAGTTAAGTTGAACGTAGCAGAGATTGATTTTATCAGATGATTTTATGGGTGTATTTTTTTCTTTTTAATGTAGTGTATTTTTCAACATGGAGAAACACAAATCAATGTGACCAGTACCTCCATACAAACTCAAGTTCCTTGAAATATTTATTCCCAGACTTGGATGCATATAGTTTGATGCACATAGTTTTCGTGCACGGGACGGTGCTCCAACCTACCCACCCAGTGGCCAGGGCTACAAGCTGTTTCTGATATAGTAGCTGGATTCCCTCACCTGAAACGAAAATGAGCAAATTTGCTAAAAAATATAATACAAAAGAAACAATTCTGTTCCGAATTGAGAAAAGGGACATAGGCAAAAGATGTAAAGTATGTGATATACCATACTCTAAAGCAATTTCCCAAAGTGTGTATCATGGGCCACTGAAATTTTACATATTATAAAAGGATATTATAAATAGAAAGATGCTTTGTGAGATGGAGAGCTTACATATAAACACGTCTGAGAGATGTGGCCCAGTCTGCTCCCTCTTAGAAATCGTGGCAACATATTAAAGATCCAGAGAACTTCCATGATTAAAAAAAAACCAGTGAAGTATGGTTAATTTAGTGTTTCCCTGATCAGGGAACCCTGATGTGTGTGTATACACATATAGATGTACTTTAAAAAATAACACCTATTAATATCTTGCAGAATTAGTATCCTGTGGAAAACACTTGAGAAAACACGGCTCAAAGCTTTGTTCTAAATATACCAAAACTCATGTAAACTGGTGGGCTTTAAAAAGAGGATTTCTTTTCAAAGAAGTGAAGAAAGAATCAGGCCTAAAAAAAAACAGCCCTGAATAAATAGCTCTGGGAACCCATTCCTCCTTGGAGGACTGTAGTGGGCTGTCTCTGGTGGGGAGAAGGTCAGTGGGTCCAGCCCTGGCCATGCTTGTTTGGATGGTGATAAATGGGAGCATTTCCAACTTTGGCTGTCATAGTGATGGGCAGAGGTGTTCAAGTTCATCTGAACATCTATCTACTTTTGTACTAGAACTTGACACCAACGCACCAAGATAAACATAGTTCTATCTTTCCCAATGGCATTATTTGTGAAAACAATGTTAAATTAAATGGTTATCATGAATGATGAATTAATTTTAGAAATTTAATAACATTTATTTATAGCACTGTCACTGAGAAATAGATGAGGTCCTGTGGTATAAAATAATTGTTGCTAAAATTTTGAATTATGGATTGCTTTTATTTCTTCAGGGATATATGATTTGAGTTGTGATACTTATTACATACTATACATATCTTCTAAGGAAGATAATATACTACTTTCAGAAAAAATGCTTTTCTGAAAGTTGCATTAAAAATCGATATTGATAAATTTTAAAAATTGGTGCATTGGCCCCTTTCACCTCACCCTGCTTGGCTCCAGGTGGATGGCTGGTTAGTTAATGACGGGCAGTGAAGCAAAGAGGGTTGCCCTGCCTGGGTGAAAACCTAAGGCCCTGCCCGTTTACAACCTATCAGCTACACCAAAACAAAGAAATATGGCCCAAATGAAAGAACACAGCAAAACCTCAAAGAGAAGTAAGCAATGAGGAGATTGCCAACCTATCTGGTGAAGCATTTATATTTAGCCCCGGTAATCAAAATGCTCACAGAACTGATTGAGCTTGGTTGAAAAATGAAAGAACAAATGAAAGATACTCAAAATGAAATAAAGCAAAATATTCCGGGAGCCAACAGTGACAAGAAGAAAACCAGGATTCAAAGCAATGATTCGGAACATAAGGAAGCAATAAACATCCAACTGGATTAGAAGAAAGAAACAAGAATCCAAAAAAATGAAGAGAAGCTGAGGATTCTCTGGGACAACCTGAAATGTTCCAATATCTGAATTATAGGGGTTTCAGAAGAAGAACAACAGCAAGAAATTAAAACCTTATTTGAACAAATAATAAAGAAAAAAGCCCCCAATCTGGTGAAGGAAATAGACTTCCAGGCAGTCCAGGAAGCCCAGAGAGTCTCATAGAACCTGGGCCCAAAGAGGAACACACCAAGGTACATCATTGTTCAATTACCCAAGATTAAAGACAAAGAGAAAATCCCAAAAGCAGCAAGAGATGAGGAGACAGTTACCTACAAAGGAGTTCCCATAAGGCTATCAGCTGATTTCTCAAAAGAAACCTTACAGTCAAGAAGGGGCTGGAAAGAAGTATTTGAAGTCATAAAAGGCAAGGACCTACATCCAAGATGACTCTATTCAGCAAAGCTTTCATTTAGAATGGAAGGGCAGATAAAGTGCTTCCCAGATAAGGTCAAGTTAAAGGAGTTCATCACCAAGCTTTTATTATATAAAATGTTAAAGGTACTTATCTAGGAAAAAGAAGATAAAAAATGTGAACAATAAAATGACAATAACAAACTCACAACTATCAACAAATGAACCTAAAAGAAAAGAAAAACAATGAAAACAAAAACTAAGTAAACAACCAGAACAGGAACAGAATCAGAGAAATGGACATCACACAGAGGGAGTTCAGTGTGGAGAGGGAAGGGAAGAATAAGGGGGAAAAGGTACAGGGAAGAAGAAGCATAATTAGTAGGTGTAAAATAGATGGGGAGAGATAAAAATGGTATAGGAAACAGAGGACTCAAAGAACTTATACGTACAGCCCATGGACATGAACTAAGGTGGAGGGGGGATAAAGGGGAAAAATTGGGAAAACTGTAATAGCATAATCAATAAAAAATACTTAAAAATTGGTACATTGAAGAAACTAAATATTAAAAGCACTCTCTAGTGAATAATGTTTATAAATGTTGACTTCTCTTATAATATGTAAAATAAATAATAATCATAATGCAGGTAGCATTTATTGTGTATTATGTATTAGGGACTCTTCTAAGTATTTAACATGCATTAATTCATTTACTCTTCACAACTGACTTATGAAATGTTACTATTACTTCCATTTCATAAATTATGAAGCATTATTTTTAATGACAACATGACATATATTATGTGTGCATATATACACATGTACATATAAGCTTTAAAGTCTATATTATTATATAATATAAATTTTTATTTCATATATAAAGCTATATTATTGTATACTCTATTACCCAAGCCAGTATATATGTACATATAACTATGTGTGTGTATTTCACCAATACAAAATAACATCTATAAATCCAATTTTATACCATGCTACTGGTGCCAAAGTGAGGTAAGTATAGAAACTCTACTTGTATTCTCTCTCCTCCTGATACCAAGGTGCAGAGTGCAAGGTGGTAATTGTGGGTGAGAACATACAATACATTTGAAGTTTTTGAAGAGTAAAGTAGGGTCAGAGATTATTAACACACAGTTCTTTTTGCTTGAAACAACATCATCCCTGTGACTGAAGGCTCAGAAAATAAGGGAAAGGAGTGTGGTTTTGAGATTTACTAAAAATGGCAGCATTTTTTCAAGTTTAATTGGAGCTGACTGACATCAGACCTGTGGAAGGGGTGCGATGCTCCAGAGGGAGAATCCAGAAAGAACTAAGGTACTAACCTGGGTCTGAAGAACGTGTTCCTATAAATGTTACTTAAACTTAGTGTGACCCCATCATTTAGCTGGAGTTTCTTCACTGTTAAATTGGGATAACATATTTTGTGTACTACAAGGATAATTTTGAGATTAAGTTTTCTAGCAAATGAAGCATTTTAAAAAGCAAGAGCACCATGCAAATGCAATTTATTGTATTGTGACTAATATCAACAATAATTAGTATAAATATTTCCATTGGTTATGCAGGTCTAATTGTAAGGGGTTATAGACCCAACCGCCTTTAACCGACAATACTATTTCTGTGACCATGTGATCGTGTGCCTTTCTGAGAAGCCTTTATGTACCATAGTTTTTACCTTCCTCATAGCCCTATGAGGTAAGTAGTAGCATCCCATTCACTGATGAGCAAAGATCAACACAGAGAGACAAAGCAATTCACCCGAACAGGGATTGCCTCCAGCATCCATGCTCACAGATATTCTGTATTCAAAAACAATGTATGTAGTTGACAAACTAACACACTGTTACATTCAGAATCTGCCATTTCAAAAGTTCAGTGTAGAGTGCAGCATTGCCAGTTGGCAGTATGTGCTACCATGTGTTTCTTAGCCTCACTCTCTCTTAAAGTCTGAAACTACTCAGACAAGGAGAAGAACAAGGCAATGTGTTTGTAACCACAAATGTGATGTTGAGGATTCTAAGTCACACAGGCACCAGGAAGGATGTTGTTGTCAGAAGACTTGACATTAAGGAAAATGCTCCAGAATTCTTAAGGTGTGTGGCAGACCTCTTGAACAGCCCAAAGCCTTTACGAAATATTCGTCCACGCATCGTTGCTTTTCCAGCACCGGTGTGTGTCATGCCTAGGCTTCTTCTTCTACTGCTTCATATCCTCTAAACCCTGTGGTTTTTTTTTTCCCCTATGGGAATCAATCTGATTTTGTAATTCAGTGATATTGGGATCAACTGTGAAGTTTTTATGGGATACTTGGGATCCTAAGTAGTCAACTGTGAGAGAGTTGAGAAGAGTGATTCAACTCAGTCGACATTTTTGAGCATTTACAGTGGGACAGGCA